TAAGTCGTTATAACGAGAAAACAACTCTCGTTATGTCGATATAATGAGAAATTAAGTCGTTATAACGAGAAAACAACTCTCGTTATGTCGATATAATGAGAAATTAAGTCGTTATAACGAGAAAACAACTCTCGTTATGTCGATATAACGAGAAATTAAGTCGTTATAACGAGAAAACAACTCTCGTTATGTCGATATAACGAGAAAATAAGTTGTTATAATGAGAAAACAAGAAGGGGAAAAAAAAGAATGCATGGCCGCTTAGAACTTCCGTACTTGTCAGCACATGGCCTTGTTGATTGTTTTTCTCAGCCATATGCTTCTTTAGCCCCTCCTCCTGGTTTCCTCATTACCACACCCTCTTGTTAGCCCTCATTGAGTCCTTGTTAGTGTAATTGCTCTCACCTGTTCCTCGTGTATTTTCCTCCCTATTTATAGTGCCCCTTGCCCTATTGTCTTTGATGGTTTGTGGTCATTCTTTCTCTCACTGTGTTTGTCTCTGTCTGTGGATGTGGTTGAGTATGTGTTCCTGTCTCCCTGTCTCCCTGGTCTTGTGATCTAGTCTTGCCGTAGTCTTATCTCTTGTAATTCTATGTTCTTGTCTTGCTCCTTGTTTTTGGATTTGGTCTGTTTTTGTCTTTTTGCTTTTTATTTTAGTGTTCATTTAGTTATCTTAGTCCTGATCTTTTGTTTTCATTTTTTGGTTGATGTTTTAGTTATTTGTGTTGGTTATTTTGAATAATTTTTTGCTTTTTTAAAAAATTGTTCCTGTGGAGCTATGTTTTGTCTTGTTGTGGTGTTAGAGTTCCTGTCCTGACCTGTTCCTGTCCACTGGTTCCCTTGCCTGGTGTCTGGGGTGCTTCAGAGTTTATGGTCCATAAGTTCTGAGCTCAGCTCTCTGGTGCCTTGCTCTGGTCTCTCCACCGGCCTGGTCTTGCCGCCGCCTCTGCTGCTATAGTATTCTGCCAGTTGATGTCTGAGGCTGTCCCAGTGGCCTTCCCTAGCTATGTGTTTATTGTGTTCCTGTTGTGGTATCATCTGTGCACCTCACTACCCTTTTGTATTAATCTCTTTTGTCAATAAACCCTTGTTACTCACACTGCAATTGGGTCCTCCTTCCAGATCCCTGACAGTTTTTGGCTGCTGCATTCAGCCCTGGAAGAACGTAGGAAAACACTAATGGAAAAAATATATTATTGACGTTCCAAACATAGGTTCAGGAGGAGCCTAAACATTCAGTCCTGTCAATCATTGTTACAAGCTTATATAAGCAGCAGTCATTGTGCTGTCCTGGTGACAATTATTCTGGCATCCCTCCACCTCCCCATCTCCTCCTTTATTTCTGTCATTCTCCCTCTATGTAGTACCACAAAAGGTGGGTTGAACTCAAGCCGAGCCTAAGGTTCGAGCCTCTGTCGATGACAGCAAGCCAAGTTCGTTTACCATTAACTATTAAGGCTGAATGGACAGGCGAACTCATGAAATGGTAAAAATAGCACAATAAAATTTGTCTAATCAAGAACTAAACCTCTGCTATAAGACAAGCCCTGTGGCTTTTGTGGATTTCACAGTTTGGCAGTTCTACAAAGCCAGCAAGAACAGTCGCTGAGCCTATTTCTCCTTTTCATCATTCACTAGTCTGTCTGTAATCAGGGCACCATCACTGTGTGTGCAATATCATTGGCACCCCACCCAAATTCAAGTTAAATATTTAAACATGCTAGTCTGTAATCTATACTCTATATTACAGAAGACATCTGTTGTCTTTGTTTAATCCATTATCTGCAGTTTGTTTTTAGGAAAGAGAGTTTTGAAATCTCCCCCAATTCTAAAAGCTAATCAGCCTTTAGAAGTCTTTTTGGGGGGGGGATGCTATAAGCCCTGGCAAAAGCTTACTCTCCCAGCTTACCCTTGTTTTCTTGAGCAAAAGTTACCGCCAAGGTGGTTGCAGGGTGCTAGCATATTGCAAAGGTTTTCCTGGGGTGGTGTCTTTGAGTGATGCATTTCTATGCATTTGCTGGGTTTATTGCTAAGACATTGCTAAGACATTGCTGGATGACTTCTAGCTGCTAACTGGTCTGGCATTAAGTCGTTAGTGTAAATGGAGTCTAAAACATTTCAGGATCGAATCACTGAAACCCCATATGGAGGTAGGCTAGTCAGAAACAAAATAATAGGGTGTCTTGGGGGGGGGGGGTTATTTAATAAAAAAATAGCCTTATTAAATGAACTATTATTTATAAGCTTTTTTTCCCTTCTTGGGCCTGAAATGGAGGAATTTTGGTCAATATTGATAATTAAACAATATTTTGCTAAATGTGCTTTTGTGCTGAAAACTTGGCTAGTTTAGGCCTTTCATGGATAAATAATGATGACGATAAAATCACCAGTACGTGGCAGCAAGCCCCTGTTTTGATAAATGATTTATTGAATCGTTCAAATCAAACGATTCGTTCAAAATGGCTGATTCAATTAGAAACGAAACAAGCCTGCGTCCCAATGTGCACAATATCCATCCTAAATTCTATGTAATTTTCAATACTATTTAGGGCAGATAGGCTGGATAGTATGCACATTGGGATGCAGGGAAAGTGTCCATCTGAATGGGCTCACTTGATTCGTTCAAAAACTGATTCATTCAAGGAACGAAACACCGTGTTACTATGCACTCTTGTATAAAATTAATAGCACATTTGTGCTCTCGCATGTAGGCCTACTGATATTCAGAAAAGTACATTGCTTGTGCAATGAATATAAAAACATAAAAATTCATACATGGGTATTTTCTCTTTAATTGCTTGAATTTTAAGGTTATTTTACCTGTATTCTAATAGGCTTCATCACGCAGTGAATGCTTTTGGACTGTCAAGATGTGTTTTTGTTTGGTTTTTGCAAGGTCGATGACTCGGTAATGTCAGCTCTCCTATCATCTCTCAATCCCTCACAGACAGTTACACATACAGCACAATAACAGTATGTCAGGGAATGTTTTTCAATTCTAATTAAGGTAAAATCATACCTTTTCTGTTGTCTTCTTTTTAAAGAAATCCAAAATTTGCGCTTGAACCATTTTGCGCGAAAAATTACGAAAACTTGCTTCCGCATGTGCGCAACTTGTCACAGAAATAAGTTCTGATTGGCCAATCACCGTTATTCGTGAATTATCTTAAGTAGAGAATTTTAGCATTTCATTTGCATGATAAGTTTTACAGAATACACATTGTTAATCCAAAGGGGATGGTAAGGGGGGATGGTGGTTTTACTGAGGGGATGCTTTTTGTCATTTTTTTCAACCAGGGGGATGCCATCCCCCCTCAATTCGAGCCCTGGCTAATACTAAGTGTAAATGGTAATGGTTGTATATCTCAGAGGACCACTTGTGATCGGATCACTGAAAAGTACTTAAGGTTAGGGGTTTTGTTCAAAACCTAAACCTAGCAATAGACAAAACCATGAATAAATGTTTTAACTAATTATTCTTGTGCTCTTAGGAGAGAAAGAGGAAGAATGGAGCGCATGGAGTTCTTGTAGTGTCACTTGTGGCCACGGCAACCAGACCCGCTCACGTTCATGTGGAGATTTCTGCATCTCCACCGAATCCCAAAGCTGTGACCTTATGCCATGCACAGGTTACTTAAGTACTCAAAAATGTACTTAAGTGCTTTTTTTTTCTAAACAATTTTATGTAAAATTATGTAACACTGATTTCCCCCCCCCCCCCCAGATGATTGGAACAGTGTGGCTCATGTCTTTCCATTTGAGATGGAAAATGGTACAGAACCCTTTGGCACAGGTAAGTGCTTTAAGCTTATTGGTAAAGCTGTCAATATTCAGTATTGTCACAAATTAAAACAAAAGCATTCAGACACTGATTTTTTAAATGTTAGTGGAACACCCATGGAGTGGCTGAACTGACTCTATACAGCCACAAGAAATCACCTTGACACAGTTGGTTAAGAATAGCAGTGTATTCTGCTTGTAGGTGATATTTCATGCATGTTGTTGAGCCCTAATGATAATTAAATTATGGCATACCAGGATGGCAAGTGACATGATTTTTGTTAAACGTCCCATTTGGATTAGATTTATAATTTTAAGAAGCTCTTGCACCATCAGACAGAACTGAATTAAGTGGTTGCGATATAAAATCAGATAAATGTGTTAACTATGTTAAATAAACTGTGTCGTATCCAATTAATTGTATTAGTTAATGCTTTTTGCAACGTATAGTCTATATGATCCTTACCCAAAACAATGCGTGAAAATGTGATCGACTATGTGAATTCTTATTTTCTAATGCATGAAACTATCGCACTACTTTTTAAACCACTACTGGGCAAATTTCACTCTGTTATAGTTGATAATGTGTAATCTGTTTGGGTTTGGTTGTTCTGCAGATGTTGACAGTTGCGAGAAGTGGTTGAATTGTAAGAGTGAGTTTCTCCAGCGTTACCTGCAGCAGGTATTGACTGAATTACCCAGCTGTCCGTGCACCTATCCTTCAGAAGCCTTCAACAATATAGTCAGTCTGCTGGATGTGGGACATGATCAGACCTTCCAATGGAGGGATGCAAGTGGGCCAAAAGAACGTCTGGATATTTACAAACCCTCGGCACGCTCTTGCTTGCGTTCTGGCCTCTCAAGAGATGGCACCACCCTGGCTGCCCAGCATTGTTGCTATGATGACAACAAGCATCTAATTACAAGGGGCAAGGGTGCAGGTACCCCCAACCTAATAAGCACGGAGTTCTCTCCAGAACTGCATTTTAAGGTGGATGTATTGCCTTGGATACTGTGCAAAGGAGACTGGAGCAGGTTTCATGCCATCCGCCCACCCAATAATGGTCTGCATTGCACAGAGAATCCCCAACAGGACATTTTCATGAATGAATTAGAGGAGGCCAGAGAATATTAAGTCACCAAATTACTGTCCCTCCTCTGACACACCGTCCTGCTGTGGTGCTTAACCCAGCCAGCCGCATGTAGAGCCAGTCTTGTGTTGTGGGACGCATTGTCGTAACTGTGCTCGCAAAGCATGGCCTCTAGCTTTTCTTATGTTTGAAATATTGAGAAATGTTTAAAAATGGATTATAATCTATTTATATAATCTATTATATATCTATCTGTTGAGATAGATTATAATCTGTATCAGTGCCGTCTAATGTAAAATCTGGGTCCTGAAGCAAAATTAGTTAAAAACCTCTGCTCTATAGACTTACGGGGATGTTTGAGAGTCAATGGGCACACTTTCACTGCCAACTCAGGGGAAACCTTTCCATAACCATGTTCATTTAGTTCTTTATTAGTGTCAGAATTTCAGAAAGGGAAAGAGCCGACAGACGTAAAGAGAATATTATAATGTGTATATTGTTCTAATGTGATACTTTATATAATGCTTTTGTACAATTTTGTTTAGTTGTTCTGCGATTGTTCATTTGCTCTGGTGTTATTGCTGTTGCTTTTCATTTGTTGTTGGGAACTGTTGCAAGGGATACTTAATATTGCTCCAGACCTCTAATTTGAAATATTGCTCTTAAGAGTGTGCAGACTGTGTACAGGTGTGTCTCAGTAAATTAGAATGTCGTGGAAAAGTTCATTTATTTCAGTAATTCAACTCAAATTGTAAAACTCGTGTATTAAATAAATTCAATGCACACAGACTGAAGTAGTTTAAGTCTTTGGTTCTTTGGTTCTTTTAATTGTGATGATTTTGTCTCACATTTAACAAAAACCCACCAATTCACTATCTCAACAAATTAGAATATGGTGACATGCCAATCAGCTAATCAACTCAAAACACCTGCAAAGGTTTCCTGAGCCTTCAAAATGGTCTCTCAGTTTGGTTCACTAGGCTACACAATCATGGGGAAGACTGCTGATCTGACAGTTGTCCAGAAGACAATCATTGACACCCTTCACAAGGAGGATAAGCCACAAACATTCATTGCCAAAGAAGCTGGCTGTTCACAGAGTGCTGTATCCAAGCATGTTAACAGAAAGTTGAGTGGAAGGAAAAAGTGTGGAAGAAAAAGATGCACAACTAACCGAGAGTTTACTGTTGGCGCAAGCTACATTAAAGTGATTATTACGTTTTGAATATGGATATTTTTCTTTCAAAAACGCATCGATTCGCTACAGGAGGCCTTTGTTCACCCCCCGGAGCCGTGTGAGACACTTTTTTTATGGATGGGCGCTTTTTATTTAACTTCTTTTGGTGAGTGCCATGAAACAGCTTGAAAGATCAAAGACATGTTTTAATATAACTCTGACTGGATTCGTCTGAAAGAAGAAAGTCATATACACCTAGGATGACTTGAATTTATGGGCTAATTTTCATTTTTGGGTGAACTAACCCTTTAAAGCATTATGTAACTCTTGGCAGGTCCCTGTCATTTAAAACTACAAACTTCAAAACTATTTTAAACTACATCAACTCAAATCTAAACAATGTAAGCAAAATAAATTATTTTAAAAAAAATTATGTTTTCAACCACAGTAAGGAAAGACATCACAATATAGTAATTCTGCCTAAAATCAGAGAAGCTACTATAGTTGAAATTAAAGACATACCCTATATATTCTCAACATAAAGTTTCCGGTCCACATTGACTTTTATACTATTTTCCATACCATGGAAGTCAGTGGGGACCAACAACCATTTAGTTACCTGCATTCTTCAACATATAAAATATATAATATATAATATATACAAAAATTAATTTGTTTTAAAAGCTCAGGTGTGTATCCAAGCATCAGACTTTTTCAGATTTTTCACCAGTGACAGTCTGTCATATTTGTCACATATTGTTTTATTATTTGTCTTATGTTTTATTATTTGCCCCCTCCAAACATAAATTACTAAATGAATTAATTTTCATCATACCCAATGTATGTATATAATGCCGAAAGAAAGAAATTTGTTAAGAGCATTTTTAATATGAATAAGCACCAGTTAAGCTGCGATACCAAACAGGACCACAGGGAGACACCAAAAGACCACTAAACCTGCTGCCTTAACCAGACTGTACATGCTACTATACAGATCCATTCAGAATAACTAAACCACTGACCAGCGCATAACTAAAACACCTTCAGCCGGTATTCGTTATAAATCACTTGTGCTTTTAAGCCAAATACACGCTGAAAATAATAATTTACTGACATCTGGATGAGAGTCACTATTCTCTCCGCCATCTCTGATGAAATCTTCCGTGTTTTCTCTGCATTAGCGCTGTTTTGAACAAACAGCTTGAAAGATCAAAGACATGTTTTAATATAACTCTGACTGGATTCGTCTGAAAGAAGAAAGTCATATACACCTAGGATGACTTGAATTTATGGGCTAATTTTCATTTTTGGGTGAACTAACCCTTTAAAGCATTATGTAACTCTTGGCAGGTCCCTGTCATTTAAAACTACAAACTTCAAAACTATTTTAAACTACATCAACTCAAATCTAAACAATGTAAGCAAAATAAATTATTTTAAAAAAAATTATGTTTTCAACCACAGTAAGGAAAGACATCACAATATAGTAATTCTGCCTAAAATCAGAGAAGCTACTATAGTTGAAATTAAAGACATACCCTATATATTCTCAACATAAAGTTTCCGGTCCACATTGACTTTTATACTATTTTCCATACCATGGAAGTCAGTGGGGACCAACAACCATTTAGTTACCTGCATTCTTCAACATATAAAATATATAATATATAATATATACAAAAATTAATTTGTTTTAAAAGCTCAGGTGTGTATCCAAGCATCAGACTTTTTCAGATTTTTCACCAGTGACAGTCTGTCATATTTGTCACATATTGTTTTATTATTTGTCTTATGTTTTATTATTTGCCCCCTCCAAACATAAATTACTAAATGAATTAATTTTCATCATACCCAATGTATGTATATAATGCCGAAAGAAAGAAATTTGTTAAGAGCATTTTTAATATGAATAAGCACCAGTTAAGCTGCGATACCAAACAGGACCACAGGGAGACACCAAAAGACCACTAAACCTGCTGCCTTAACCAGACTGTACATGCTACTATACAGATCCATTCAGAATAACTAAACCACTGACCAGCGCATAACTAAAACACCTTCAGCCGGTATTCGTTATAAATCACTTGTGCTTTTAAGCCAAATACACGCTGAAAATAATAATTTACTGACATCTGGATGAGAGTCACTATTCTCTCCGCCATCTCTGATGAAATCTTCCGTGTTTTCTCTGCATTAGCGCTGTTTTGAACGTATTACTCATTACTAATGCATTCACTTACTGGGTCCTTGAACTTTCCAGAAGTTTACACTCTAAAAAATGCTGGGTTAAAAAGGGACAAACCCAGCTATTTGGTTGTTTTGACCCAACGGTTCGGTTCAAAACAACCCAACCGTCAAATGTATTTGTGTACCAGCATTTCAAAGCAGCTTTACACAGTGCTTGAAGTGAGCCGGTACACTCTAAAAAATGCTATTGGAGTATTTTGACCCAGAAATTGGGTTGTTTTGACCCAGCGGTTGGGTTCAGAGATTAAATAACAGCGATTAGGAGGTCAAAGAGCAATGTAACAAATATCCATAGGATTGAGACAGCAATGAAATCTCAAGGATTCAGATTGTCCTTCTATACATATAGAGCTTATATATTATACATATGGCATTCTTCCTAGAAATCTGCAATAACATTATTTCTTGGCCTGATCGGCCCTAAAATGTTGTCTGAAAGAAAAGAGTTCAATCTACAATTTCTATGTCATGAATACAAAATAATGTACACAAAAATAAATGTTTGAAAGGCTACTCTCAAAATGCAACAGTATTTCAAATCCACATCAGAAGTTTGGGCTCTCCAGGCACCCTGCCAGTACTTGGTGACTTCAGTGCTGTATGCTCTCTCTCAGGGCTACAGGAATCTAAAATGTTCTCTGTTTGTGTGGCTGAGGAGCGCCTTCAGTACTCCCATGCTGCCTGCCACCCACTGAGACCACAGATGTAAGTGATACAGGCCACACATGTTATAAACTCTTGAGTGGATGCCTGAATATAGCATTCATCAGCTTTTTTTCTTTTCAGTTAACTGGTTGTCTGAAGCCCGAGAACTGTGGTGATCTTTTCTAACACAGATAGAGGCTGTGCTCTACTTCAAACACATTGGAGGACATCTTGTGGTGTTGGATAAATCTAACCAAAATCAGAGGTATCAGAGGTAAAAAATTATATAAATACTGTTCGGTTTCCGGCACAAACCGATCGTTTCGTGTCTTAGGACATCAATGTGTCGTCACGAGCCGCAAGGTTTAATTTGGATTTGTCTGTGCATGTTTTTTTTACTCTCATAGATTTTGTTACCATTGCCATGCATTATACGACTGATAGACTGCAATGGTGGACAGGTTTTTAATGGTTTTCGGCTGAGCAGGGAGGCCCTGACAGTGCTGCGGGATCATCTGAGAAGTGAACGGCAACACCGATGGGGTGCCACAATCCAGACCCTGGTGTTTCTCTTCTGTCTGCCAGTGGTACATCATACAGAGTGGTCTCCAGAGTGTTTGGCATGCCTTGTTCCACTGTCACCGCATTGTCCTCCGAGTCGCTGAGGAGGTGCTGGCCATTCACCAAGAGACTCACCTCCTGAAGACCCCAGAACACATGGAGGCAGGGCTGGGCTCAAAACTGGTGTTGTTTTTCTGAGGTTAAACCTAAGCTATGTTGTAAATAGTTGCAAAAAGTACTTTCAGTAATGTATACAACAATTTGTTTTAATGTGTAAAAAAAATATTTACAGGACAAAAAAATGTATGTATAGAAGAATGTTTTGTGAAAAAATTATAAGCGGCATTAAAAAAAAAATAACAATGTACGTAATTACTTTTTGTTTTTGTTTGGGGCTGGTTGAGGTCTGGTTCAAGTTTTTGGTAAAGAGTTTTAAAGTAAGACCTCCAGACTGTGCCGCTCTGGAGGAATGTGTCTGATTTGGGGCTTTCAAAATTTTTTAAGAGAGTCCAGAAATAGTTTTGGTCTATTGATTTATCGATTTCATCAATTTTAGCTTCATAATATTGATCTCTTTTGTTGCAAATTAGCTTTTTATAATTTTTCAAACAGTTGGAGTAGGCGAGCCGTAGTGTCTGATTGGACGGTTCTTTATGCTTTTTGTTAGCAATTCGTGACAATTGCATTCATTATCAAACCACATATTCTTTTTTATTTTTTGTTTGTTTATTCTATGTTTGTTCTGTTGTTTAATGTTAGATATAGTGGCCAAAGTTTGAAATATATAATTAAGATTAGATGTTGCTGAGTTTATTCCATTAGTATCTGGAGTGAAATCTGTGGACATAAAGTCGTCCAGCATTTTTAGTATTGCAGAGCTGCTCATGTTTTCTTTGAATTGTTCGACGTTAGATTGGTTCCAACTGAGTTTTGGTTTTAAGGGGAACAGTTTTTCATGTTTGAGGGGAGGAGTTCTGACCCTGTCACAGGACTGTTTCAGGTAAAGGACTGTTAGGCAGTGGTCAGAAATGGGAAGTTGAGGTCTAACTGTAAAGGCATTAATACAGTTTGGGTCAATGTCTGTAATTGAGT